TATTCTTGTTCTTCGAGGGCTGTCTAATGAGCACTATTTTCTGTCATTCCGTGGAGGACTTGGGATGCTTATTGAGTGCTACTTTTGTTTTTCGAGTCCCGTCTATTGAGGGCAATTTTCTTTTGTCGAGTGGAGGACAGGGGCTTGACGTTTGGGTTTCGTAGTTAGGGTTTAGGGTTGAAAAGTTTACAATGTTTAGCGGCATAGCGAAATCTCACAGGCTTCAGCGAAGCTTATTGAGAGGAAAGTTGAGTTCTCGGGCATATGGCAAGCGAAGGTGCCGGCGGGTCTAGCCCGAGTCAATCGTGATTGTCCTATTGAGGCTGAAACGGGGTGTTATTGAGGCTGCTGCTGGCTGAGGCTTTCCCGAGTGAGTCGTGATTTGCCTATTGAGGCTCAAATGGGGTGTTATTGAGGCTGGGGGTGGCAGCGCTTCAAGGCTTTGGACGCTCATACTTTCTCACGCACCACGGCCTGCCCAGGGTGCGACTCTGTGAAACGTGCCTTGCTGCCGCCCTAAACCCTAAACCCTAAACCTGTGGAGACTCTTGTAACGCCTATTGAGGGCTACTGAAGACTGTTGAAGGCTTTAAGCCCTGATGCCTAAACCCATACTTCTGTGCAATCAAGTCGAGGCGTTCTGCGAAACGGAGCTTCACCGCCGTGGCAGCACTCACGTACGCGTCATTTCCTCGGTGAAGGCTTTCTGGGTAAAGCATTGAAACTTTCAGCGCAGAACGCCTCGACTTTATTGCTCAGAAGTATGGGTTTAGGCTTTAGGGCTTAAAGCCTTCAACAGTCTTTAGTAGCCCTCAATAGGCCTCACAAGAGTCTCCACAGGTTTAGGGTTTAGGGTTTAGGGCGGCAGCAAAGCACGTTTCACAGATTCGCACTCTGGGCAGGCCGTGGTGCGTGAGAAAGTATCAGCGTCCAAAGTCTTGAAGCGCTGCCACCCCCAGCCTCAATAACACCCCATTTGAGCCTCAATAGGCAAATCACGACTCACTCGGGAGAGCCTCGCTAGCCCCAGCCAGCAGCAGCCCCAATAACACTCCATTTCAGCCTCAATAGGACAATCACGATTGACTCGGGCTAGACTCGCCGGCACCTTCGCTTGCCATATGCCCGAGAACTCAACTTTCCTCTCAATAAGCTTCGCTGAAGCCTGTGAGATTTCGCTACGCCGCTAAACATTGTAAATTTTTCAACCCTAAACCCTAACTACGAAACCCAAACGTCAAGGCCCTGTCCTCCACTCGACAGCAGAAAATTGCCCTCAAGAGACGGGTCTCGAAAAACAAAAGTAACACTCAATAAGCATCCCAAGTCCTCCACGGGATGACAGAAAATAGTGCTCACTAGACAGCCCTCGAAGAACAAGAACAGCCCTCAATTGGCTTCTCGGGCGGGCCTCGCTGGGAACAGTTTAGTACTCAGAGCTTCCCTAAACCTGTGGAGACTCTTGTGAGGCCTATTGAGGGCTACTGAAGACTGTTGAAGTCTTTAAGCCCTAAAGCCTAAACCCATATTAGGCTTTAGGGCTTAAAGCCTTCAACAGTCTTTAGTAGCCCTCAATAGGCCTCACAAGAGTCTCCACAGGTTTAGGGTTTAGGGTTTAGGGCGGCAGCAAAGCACGTTTCACAGAGTCGCACTCTGGGCAGGCCGTGGTGCGTGAGAAAGTATCAGTGTCCAAAGCCTTGAAACGATGCCACCCCCCAGCCTCAATAACACCCCATTTGAGCCTCAATAGGCAAATCACGACTCACTCGGGAGAGCCTCGCTAGCCCCAGCCAGCAGCAGCTTCAATAACACCCCGTTTCACTCAATAGGACAATCACGATTCACTCGGGCTAGACTCGCTGGCACCACCTTCGCTAGCCATATGCCCCAAAAATGCAACTTTCCTCTCAATAAGCTTCTCTGAAACCTGTGGCCGGGGGGGGGGGGTATGCCACCCCTCCCCATGCGAACCCTATGATTAAACCCTAAACCCTAAACCCTCAACTCTAAACCTTAAACTTAAACCCTAAACCCTCAACTCTAAACCTTAAACTTAAAGCCTAAAACGTAGACCCTAAACTCTAAACCCTGGCTTGGCCTCCATGCCCTCTTGAGGTCGCTGGCTGCGTGGGCATTGAGTTCAGCGGCGGGAGATGTGAAGTTTGGATCCGTCCTGATGGAATCCAGGCTTCGATTGCAGCTTCGCCGCAAGACCCCAGAACTTGAACCGTGTATATATATATATATATACACACATTTGTATATATATATATATATCTATCTACATACCTTTGTTCACATGTATATACACCTGAACATATATATATATATATGTAATCTATATATAGATATTTATGTATATGTATACATATGCACACATGAGGACATACATAAATAACTGAGTAACTTATGTATATACTTGTATACACATAGCTGAAGGCATAATATGAAGACCTCCCATAACTTAAGGTTTTCGCCTGAAGTAACGGGTATTGGGCTTTCACGGTGGGATGAGGGAAAGTGCAGCAGAGTGAATGTGCAGCTTGAGGCATTGAATGGCTTCACGTGCCTGAGCTACACTCCTCCCCTTGCAACGACAACGTTAGCCTTGACTGCAACGACCAGTACAAGGAGCCGCATTCTGTGACAAGAATCCGGGATGTGGGCTTTTGTGTCCCGCTTGGGCATGGCAGTCTGGGACACTGTAAGACGCCGCTTTTTGAGGGTGATTTTTCGGTCTCGGGTCTCGGAAGCAGCAAGATTGAGGCTTCCTACCAAGCTTGGAGCTTATGAATTCGTAGGAGGACGTTGTTGACGATGCCGGCCGCCGTTTGATGGAGTTGTCCATGCGGCTTTTGAGCTAGCATGTCTGTGTCGATGAAGAGCACTTGAGCTAGCAGCACTTAGCAATACTTAGCAGTTGCTTCCAGGGCGTCAAGGGACTTGCTTGTAATACTGTATGCCTGATCGAGTCACGAGCTTACAGTACCTTGCTGGTCCATCCAGTTGCAAGATGGGTGTGCAGACGTCTTTGCTGTGCTAGAGTATGTATTGCAATCGCTACGCATGAGTGCTAGCATGTGCGCTCTTTGCCTAAGCTCTCCTGTTTGTCTTTTTGTCTTTTCCTTTTGCTTTATGCTTCAAAAAACGATGCACTGCTGTTTACCAAGGGCTTGTCCAGCCTTCGCAACAAGCTCGAAGTGAGAGTGTGTGGCAGGGCCAGAAGCGATGCACTGATGTTTACGACGGGTGAGATGTCTTGCCTTCGCAACAAGCTCGGAGTGTGTGGCAGGGCCATGGCGACGCGTTTCGCGGCTGTGGACGGTGGAGTCAATCGAGCATGCCGTGGGGCATCATCTTCCGACAATGCTCCGGCCCACTACACAGTCATCCCAGGTCGAGGGGGTCAGACCTATGAGTCTCCCCAGAGACTCCAATATCCCTTAATTAAGGAATATACCTTAAATCATATTAAGGCTCCTACTATAATTTAAGGAATATTCCTTAATCAAGGAGTATTGGAGTCTCTGGGTCTGTTGTAGAAAGCGCGGCATCCGTTCGTTTTGGTAGACGGGCAGGCATCCAGGCTCTTGGCGATTGCCAAACCGAGTGCCTTCAGGCCGCCTCTTGTTAGAGACGCTCGGGTGCTTGGCCTGACTTCTCCCCCTCTTTTTCAGGTCCTTGGCTGCGTGGGCATCGAGTTCAGCGGCGGGAGATGTGAAGTTTGGATCCGTCCTGATGGAATCCAAGCTTCGATTGCAGCTTCCCTGCAAGAAAGAAGGCATGTAATCCTGCGGCAGCGATCAGATGGAAAGTGCAGCTTGAGGCGTTGACTGGCTTCACCTGTCAACGTCACACGACTGCATATTCAGTGTTGACTTTTTTGTCGTCCCGTTCGCTTTTGGCATTCATGCGCGCATCGGTCATCATGTACAGTGTCGCAGCTGACGAGATCTTGAATCTTGCTGGCATTAGTTGTTGTTAGTGTGCTTCTTGCTGTTCCATCATGGACAGATTGAGGCTCAGTGATCAGCATCGTTATCATCATTTTCCGCAGGATTAGTTCGGTGTTTTGTTCTCTTGTGCTTCGTAGCGGTCGAAAATCATGTTCGCGCTCCTGGCAATATGAGGTCTAGTGTCGTGTTGTTTTGCTGGACCCTAAACCCTAAACCCTTAACCCTAAGCCCTGAAAGAAGCCGACAAGACAAACCCTATAGCCCGATTTGTCGAAGCAGCAAGCAGCTGTACCGTACTATGCTAGGCTGTTTTATACTTTACTCTACCCCAGAACCCTATTCTCATTATTGAGGCCCCCACGATCCCAGACTTGGGCCAGTTCAGCCCTTTCCTCGAAGGTTTAGTTTCAGCAAGCCGTCGATTGGACATGGTGCTTCTGCCCTGAGCTATGGGGAGTTCAAATTCAGAGACTCCTTAATTCAGGAATCGATTTTCAATGATGATACGAACCCCACTAGAACTTATGGTGTATGCCTTAGTTAAGGGGGATTGGGCTTTCTGGTTAAAATTCAGAGTGGCCGTGGAAGTAGGCGAATTGGTCATGCCTTCATTTCCGCCGAAGGCGGACGAACAGGCGGATCCTGCCAGTGCTCGAAACCGCGGCACTTTTTTCTGCAAAATGCAGCAGACTGTTCGGGGAGAGGCGAAAAGGGAGATGTTATCGAAAATTCTCTCTCCTGCAGAGCATCTGAGTTTTGAGGGGCGCAGCCATGAAAGAATCTTGCTCACAAGCTCACAGTAGCTTAGAAAACCCTTCGGGCCAAGCGCGTAGCAATCGCGCCTGTGCGCGAGGAGTGCTGTGAAATAAACGGCAACGGTCGTGCGAGGGTCCATACAGTGCTGTACAGTGGAAAACGCTCCGTGGTGGTGGCAACCTGCTTCAGCATATTGCCAAGTCACTGGCCATTTCAAGTTTTAACAAGCCAGCAGCTCACCCAGTAGCTCAGCCTCGTGCAACGTTGGTCGTGAAAAAAGTCGTTGTTTTTTGACAACCCCTCCTCCCACGGCACCCTCTCACTACCCCAAACCCCAAACCCTAAACACTAAACCTTAAACCATCACCCTAAACCCCAAACCCTACACCATAAAAACCCTAAACCCTCACCCTAAACCCTAAACCCCTAAACCCCTAAACCCGCAACCCCAAACCCCTAAACCCCTAAACCCCTAAACCCGCAACCCCAAACCCTAAACCCTAAACCCTGAACCCCAAAACCCGAAATCCTAAACCCTAAACCCAAAGCCCTGAACCCCTAATCTCCTAAACCCCTAGACCCTCAGCCCCAAACCCTAAACCCCTAAACCCCTAAAGCCCCAAACCCTCAACCCTAAACCCCTAAACCCCTAAAGCACTAAACCTTCAACCCTAAACCCCCAAGCCCCTAAAGCCCTAAACCCTCAACCCTAAACCCCTAAACCCCTAAAGCCCTAAACCCTCGACCCTTAACCCCAAAACCCTAAACCCTAAACCCCAAACCCTTAGCCCTAAAACCTCAAAGGCCAAACGCCAGGCCCAGGACCCCCAATTCTGGCTTGTCGGCCCAGAGCTTCCATGGAAATGATCATGATTATTCCTTCTTATTTTGGTTATGATTAAGTGGTTATTAGATCACGACTATGATTATGACAGCATTATGATGGTGTTATAGTAGTATTACTGTATGATTATCAGTCTGATTATTGCTTTTTTTCCTATTCTTACTGTGGTGATTATCAGCACTATCATTACGCAAATGATCATGGCAAGCAAGGATTGAAGCCACACGGACAGCTCTACAGTCGAAGCAGGTTAGCAACGAGTTTGTTCCGTAGCAGTGTCTTTTCGGTGATGAAACCCTAAACCCCAAAACCCCTAACCCCTAACCCCTAAACCCTAACCCCTAAACCCTAAACCCCTAACCCCTAAACCCCAAAAGCCCCTGAAGCCCTAAACCCCTAAAGCCCTAAACCCCTAACCCCTAAAAACCCCAAATCCTAAAGTCGGTGATGTGGAGCGATCTAGTGGCACCTCCTGTGGACGGCCGTTCCGCCCGAGGCAGTGGCTCCCACAGTTGCAAGGGGAGTGAAGGCCACGGTTTAAGGTTTAGGGCCTAGGGTTTAGGTTTAGGGTTTAGGGTTTAGACTTTAGGGTTCAGGGTTTAGGTCTAGGGTTTAGACTTTAGGGTTCAGGGTTTAGGGTTTAGGGTTTAGGGTTACTCTGAACCCTTACAGGAACCCTTTTTGGATCCCTTAAAGGAACCCCTTTCGAGGTCCCTTAAAGGTACCCTCATGGATCCCTTAAAGGAACCCTTTTTAGATCCCTTAAAGATACCCGTATAGATCCCCTGAAGGAACCCTTATAGATCCCTTGAAGGAACCCTTATAGATCCCTTAGGGGAACGTCTTAAAGGAACCCTTATAGATTTCCTAAAGGAATGTTTTAAAGGAGCCCTCATAGATCTCCATTATGGTAACTTAGTTTAAGTTCCTTAGCAGCAACCCAGAAAGCAAGTTTCAGGCGAGCTGCGTTTACATGAGAGTCGCCGGAGCGTCAGGCCAGGATGTGAGATTCAAGATGCTTTGCAATCTGCATGTATCCTTTCTGAGAAGTCCTTGGCAGGTGATCCGTTTGCGAAGCGGAACAGTGTGCAGAGGGCACCTTTCAAGTCGAAAGCTTCTTTCAAGGCGATCGGGTGATGTTTGACTCGTGGTGCTTGTAGCAACTTCGGTGGCAGCGTGCAGCTTTGGAATCGCACTTCGTCAACAGTCGTGGAACGGATTTGCTGTAGTGAGTTTGCTGGAGGAGAGGAAACAGCCGCGTGATTCTCCTGATTCACTCGACGATGAAGGACTAGGCACAGTCGAGAGGATGTCGTAAGACCTTCGCAAATCATCTGTTACCAGGAGACGTCGTGCCTGCGGCATCCAACGCATCGCGGAAAGACAAGAGGCAGAGCAGATGCTACCATCATTATGGATGACCGCCATAAGTTTCATGCATGCACTTGCTCTCAAACATGACCCTGGGATCATCCTAGGTAGTATTAGGGAGACCCTTTAAAGGGGACCCTTCTTAACCCTACTTGTGGCACTCTAAATCCGGACCTTATCGAGAGGGTCTATATCCCCAAGGGTCCCCCTAATCCTAACTCCTAGATCAGGAGTGGGGCACGCGAGTCAGGGGGAGTCTTGGGGTCGCCCTAAACCCTAAACCCTAAACCCTAACCCCTAAACCCTAAACCTTAAGCCCTACATGAGGACCAGCGTCGACAAAGGCAAAAGCACGCCGGCTCGCAGTGTGTTGAAGGACATTCGCAGCAGTCGGCGGCCCGACTGCAGTGGTTGCTTCGAAATAGCCCCAAACTCTACCCTGAACCCTGAACCCTAAACTCTGTAAGCCTAAACCCTGAACCCTAAACTCTATAAGCCTAAACCCTGAACCCCAAACTCTAAAGACACTAAAACCCTAAACCCTGAGCCCTAAACTCAATAAGCCTAAGCCCTAAACCCTAAACCCTAAACCCTAAACCCTGAACCCTAAACTCAAGAATCCCTAAAAGCCCTGAACCCCAAACTCCAAAAACCCTAAAAGCCTTAAAACCCTAAACCCTAAACTCTTTAAACCCCTAAAACCCTAAGAGCCCTAAATCCCCAAACCCTCTGGCAGCCGCTTCTCCAAGGCTGCCCAAGAAGCTCCAGGCTCCGGGCTGTGATGGACCTTTCGGGTTTAGGGGTTTTGGGTTTAAGGGTCTTAGGGTTTTAGGGTTTTAGGGTTTAGGGCTTTAGGGTTTTAGGGTTTAGGGTTTAAGGGTTCAGGGTTTAAGTCTAGGACATTTTCAGGTGGGTAGTTGCCGTTTTAGGAGCCTTATAGAAGGTCTATATACCTTATGGAAGCCTTATAGAAGCCCTGTATGCCCTAATCTTTTTACCTGTAGTTCCTTCAATTAAGAGTTTGGGGTGTAGGGTTTTAGGGTCTTAGGGCTTTAGGGTTCATGTTTTAGGGTTTAGGGTTTTAGGGTTTTAGGGTTTAGGACTTTAGGGTCTAACGTTTTAGGGTTTAAACCCTTGACCCTAAACCCTAAACCCTAAACCCTAAACCCTAAACCCCAAACCCCAAACCCCAAACCCTTAACCTCAACCCCAAAACCCCAAACCCTAAACCCTAAACCCCAAAACCCCAAACCCTAGACCCTAAGCCGTCTTTGGCAGGTTCCGAACTTAGACTTCGACCGCTTCCTCCGGATCAAGGCTTCGCCTCAGGGGGGGTTTGGGGTGTAGGGTTTAGGGTTTGGGGTTTGGGGTTTGGGGTTTAGGGTTTAGGGTTTGGGGTTTAGGGTTTGGACTCGGGGGTCATACGGTTGAGGATATAAATCATGAGGGTTTAGGGTTTAGGGTTTAGGGTTTAGGTTTTAGGGGTTGAGGATCCAGAGACTCCAATATTCCCTAATCAAGGAATATTCCTTAAATTAGAGTAGGATCCTTAATATGATTTGAGGTATATTCCTTAATTAAGGGATATTGGAGTCTCTGGGGATATAAATCCTGCATTACCCAGGGTTTAGGGTTTAGGGTTTAGGGGTTGAGGGTTTGAGGGTTTAGGGTTTAGGGTTTAGGGTTTGGGGTTTAGGGTTTGGACTCAGGGGTCATACGGTTGAGGATATAAATCCTGCATTACCCAGGGTTTAGGGTTTAGGGTTTAGGGTTTAGGGTTTAGGACCCTATATTATGGGAAGTCTGGTATATTCTGGGAAGTTTGGTCCCTATTGTGGGAAGTCTGGTATATTCTGACTATGGGTATACCG